GGCGTCCCTTCTGCCATCCCTTTTTCTTGACTTTTCGGATAGCAGTGGAACGACCCGCATGAACCTGGGACTTTAGACCGAAGGGTTCGGACCACGTGTGTAATGTTGCAGGCTGCTGGCAGGATTCCCCAAAATGGACCGAAGTGAGAGGGTTACCGGCGCCGGTCGCCAGGAGCTGAATAGCCACTGCATCGCGTTTGCCTCTCTAGTCTCTGGTTTGGCTTTAACCGTGGTGACCACAAAATCGTCAGGATGTGGTGTTCTCGTGAACGTATTGCAGCGCTATGCAGTTGTTTCGTTGCAAACAACGTTGAGGGGTGCATCCAAGGGTTGAAGCCCATTAATCCAATTCAGGCCCAGATCGGGGCCTGTATAGTTCGTGAGGTAGCAAGTACCGTTGAGTTGAATCCCCTTGAACGTTACGGAATAATTCAGCTTTCTCGTGAGTTTGATCCTCGGTCATGGTGCTGAGCTGTTGACCACACCGGCATAAGTTGTGAAATCTTCAGCACCCCCTCTGGTAATCTTGAGACACCAGCCGTCACTCATCTGGAGCACACAGTCGACTATAACTCTGGACGGTGAACGGCCCCTACGGCATCGGAGGTTTATCACTGCATATTTCCCCTCAAGCGCCACCCTGCTTCTGGTGCGGATTACCTCACACCCGCAATCTCGCCTATATTCAGGAAAAGGAGACTTCCCCAGTTAACTGGGCAGAGTTGGCAATATCGCCCGTTTTCAAAAAAGGGGTTCGTAATAAGCATGGTAACCACATGGAGATCAGCTCGACCACGGTTGTAACGAGACTACTGGCGCCACCTGTGCTTCATCACCTTGTGGTGGCTTGTGAAAGCTTGGCGACCTGAAAGTAGCAAGCGGGGTTTCTGTCTGGCAGGGGTTACGTGGGCCAATTTTCCACACCCCATCAGGCGCCTGGATGTCATACGTACAAACGACCCACATCTTTAGTATTCCTGGATTTCCAAGGTGCATTCGACTCGGTTGACTGGTTTACTCTCCTTGACACACTGGCTCATTAAGGAATGGTCCAGAAGTTTGTGAACATACTACATTTTCTGTGTTTCCATACTTCCGGACGTGTGATAATGTACAGAGAGCCCTCTCAAAGCTTTCGTATACAGAACAGTGTCCGTCATAAATGCTCACTGTCTCCGTTATTTCGTGATCGATGAGATAATGAGACGAGCGCAGGAAGCTCGTCAGACCTCTGGTGTTCAAGTAGCCTATGACGAAGGCCTTGTCGAGCTGGATAATCCAAACGACATCGTTCTTCTATCCAAAGAGGAGGAGAAGGCTCATGTTTTCTGGATGAACTGACCAAAGTCATCTCGTCCTTTGGTATGCATTTTGCACTCACAAAATGTAAAGACATGCTACTGAAAATGCACTCACTGAACACGCCACTTCTAACCCAAGGAGAGGTACTCGATGTTGTGGGGCGTTTTACCTACCTTGGAAGTTGTATTAGTTCTGATTGCAGTGTGATAGATCAGGTCAATGCACGGGTTTGCAAGGCTCAGGTCACGTTTGCTAATTTGAGACACCTATGGCGTCAAAGGGGTATATTCCTAAATTTCAAGGGACGTCTCTGTCAAGCTTTAGTACGGGTGGTTTTGTTGTTTGGCTGTTAGATTTGGTCCGTTCGAGCAGAATTAGTGAGATGTCTTCAGCTCTTCGACAATGGTTGTTTCATAACTATAACTCGTGTGGGTTGGTGTCGGAGAATACACAAGGCAAATGGGAAAGCGAGCTTTTGGCTGTGCAACGGAGATCTCCATTGAGGTTTGTGTCCAGCACCAGAAACTGCGTTAGTTGGGCCATGTATTGGGTTTGCCGAACCATCGTTTGCCGAGATAGTGCTTGTTTCCTTGTTCAATTCGGAGCAGCGGAAGCGGAGTTGTCACCCCTTGATCTGGATTGGGGTTTGAATGAGATTACGAAACTTTTGGGTGCTCTTTGTGCTACTTGCCCTACAGGATGCGGACCGCATGATTACCATGGCTCCTGGTTTGAAGCATCAGTGGCAACACTGATGTTGTTGTCTTTGATGCTTTGATGATGGTTTGAGACGCTACAAGATATGGCTTTCACTGGATGTCATTGGCGTTCAGGATTTCAGTTTCTATCCAGATTCCTGGACGAGTTTCTGAAAGTGTAGACACCTCGGAATGATTGTAGTAAGCTTGAACTAAGGTCCTTACATGTACTTCCTCAAGTCCTGTTAATTCGTGGCCTCTAATACAATCAAACTAGTGAAAGCATCAGCGTCCCACTACCGTATCAAGTCGAACCAACGCGCACGTATTTGCAATTGAACACAGGAATTCGAGGTTGACCTAATAAAAACATGCGATATCGACCGGCATGCAAATTGGAGTCAAATCAAGGCTGCTTCCACTATCACTGGACTCAAGAGCGTCTCTCGAAGATATTCGTATACAACCAGCCTCCCCCCATTACCTTCGCGGAGCTGTAGCTACCAGATGGCGAATGAACCACTACCAGAGGTGTTCTAGTAAGACTTCAGTAACGGTCAGGTGGTACACTATCCCCCGTAATCCCGTCGTTGGAACTGTTAAAATGCTTGGAACATCCCTGATACTTGAACAGCAGATATATTCCATCACATAAAAACACTTTTTTTCTAATAGAAGCTAAACACGCGGGTAAATCTTGCTAAAGAACGGGACTGGCACTCTCAGTACTTAGCTGCCATGCCAACGGAAGGAGGAACAAGGGCTGGGATACTGCCTGAGTGCCCAAGCGTAGACAGGAGCAGTCGAGATGCTGAGGTTGGATTCAAACCACGACCTTCCGGTCCGTAAGTTGGTGTCTCAACCACCGAGCTATCGCGAGCGCAAGTCTACGAGGTGAGGACGTTTTCGAGTCTTCTCCTATACTCATGGCATTCTGATTCATGTAAGAATGATCTACAGAATGGAACTAACCATTCTGTTGCTCGACTTCTTGTGTGATATTCCAGGACAGTTTGGATGATCTCCCTCAGTATGGTGGGGAGACTTCTGAAGCCCCAGAAGGAGATCGTGAGTAGTTGATCCACATACTATCATTCCACTCTTTGCTTGATCACACCAAATGAATGAACACCGTGGCCCAGTTAGCTTGCGGCCTTCTACAGCCTTCTACAGAACTTACGTAGAGATTGCTCCCTCATCTTCTCGGAGAAACGGCTTGTTAATGGTTTTCGCCTTTTTTTAGCATACTTCAACCCGTGACCAAACGTCAGGAGGAACATAGTATTCTGTTAATTACATTGACAGTCACATAGGCCATTATCGTCATCGTGAACTAAGGTCCTTACATGTACTTCCTCAAGTCCTGTTAATTCGTGGCCTCTAATACAATCAAACTAGTGAAAGCATCAGCGTCCCACTACCGTATCAAGTCGAACCAACGCGCACGTATTTGCAATTGAACACAGGAATTCGAGGTTGACCTAATAAAAACATGCGATATCGACCGGCATGCAAATTGGAGTCAAATCAAGGCTGCTTCCACTATCACTGGACTCAAGAGCGTCTCTCGAAGATATTCGTATACAACCAGCCTCCTCCCATTACCTTCGCGGAGCTGTAGCTACCAGATGGCGAATGAACCACTACCAGAGGTGTTCTAGTAAGACTTCAGTAACGGTCAGGTGGTACACTATCCCCCGTAATCCCGTCGTTGGAACTGTTAAAATGCTTGGAACATCCCTGACACTTGAACAGCAGATATATTCCATCACATAAAAACACTTTTTTTCTAATAGAAGCTAAACACGCGGGTAAATCTTGCTAAAGAACGGGACTGGCACTCTCAGTACTTAGCTGCCATGCCAACGGAAGGAGGAACAAGGGCTGGGATACTGCCTGAGTGCCCAAGCGTAGACAGGAGCAGTCGAGATGCTGAGGTTGGATTCAAACCACGACCTTCCGGTCCGTAAGTTGGTGTCTCAACCACCGAGCTATCGCGAGCGCAAGTCTACGAGGTGAGGACGTTTTCGAGTCTTCTCCTATACTCATGGCATTCTGATTCATGTAAGAATGATCTACAGAATGGAACTAACCATTCTGTTGCTCGACTTCTTGTGTGATATTCCAGGACAGTTTGGATGATCTCCCTCAGTATGGTGGGGAGACTTCTGAAGCCCCAGAAGGAGATCGTGAGTAGTTGATCCACATACTATCATTCCACTCTTTGCTTGATCACACCAAATGAATGAACACCGTGGCCCAGTTAGCTTGCGGCCTTCTACAGCCTTCTACAGAACTTACGTAGAGATTGCTCCCTCATCTTCTCGGAGAAACGGCTTGTTAATGGTTTTCGCCTTTTTTTAGCATACTTCAACCCGTGACCAAACGTCAGGAGGAACATAGTATTCTGTTAATTACATTGACAGTCACATAGGCCATTATCGTCATCGTTGTTGCCAAGTCCAATGTGCTGACACTGTAAAAATAGCTGCCTGAAAAACATATCAGCGTGCTCAAATACCATCTATCAACAAGGGGAAAAAGCAAACGAAAAAGAGGTTTTGTGCTAGGTTCTGTGCATTAAGGTACCGATAAGACTAACGACCAAATAGCTGAGCGTGAAGTGATGCCGTCGAAGTTAAGCGCCATTAGTTGTCGTTGTCATGAAGAGGCCTGAATCCCCAGGACGGCCGTCGGTGTCGTGTTTTATTGTTGAGTGGACATTAGACAGCATTCGCAAACCTTGCTTCTGCGCAACCGTGGTTGGTGTACCTCACGGAGCCGTCATCATTTAAGTGGCCTCAAGCGTCATTTTCATGGTGATTTTAAGCGGATAATAATCAAAGGCCTTTGCATCCAAAATCAACTTTGCAACTCCATCTTTCCTAGCTGCTTGTACCTGTAATTTTCCGATAAGCTTCTTTGTAATATTTACCTCTTAGTGTGCATGACTGTTCGCCTAAACTGCGCTTGAACATCAGGGACTTTCTTTATCTTTTTAGACACCTTTGATGGATATATCCGTTCTGTGAATGGCATTAGATGGCTCTAATTCTTCGCTACATACGACGGGTTTGTCAACTCTAGATGTATCTGTGGTCACTTCCGGAGACGACACTTCACGGTGAGTATTCATTAGCTAATGCTTACCTGCCTAAGGCTATTTAGGCCGTCCGTTCCAGGCCGGCCTACATCTGTCTTGTATAGAGGACACTGCCATGCGCTTATACAGTTATCGCAGAGACCTTCACAAGGTTTTATCAGATCTGTCCTTGTAAACTGAGTACGCCACTTGGGTTTTCACAGTGAGGGCTCTTTGTCATCGAAAATCTGATTGTGATGATTTTGTAGATGTTGAGTTAATGAGTGGTTGAACGCACATTTGTATCACTGACAGCTGTCGGACCCCACTTGACGACCCCTAATTCATCACTTTGTGCTTTTGTTGGAGTTAGTTAGGTGTTCTTGGAGCAAAACGACTATCCGGCCGCACGTACCAATCCCTGTAATGTCATACAACATGTGGCGGATGGAATTCGGGTCATATTGACGACTGTCTAACCTAATCCATCCCCTTCTCGGCGGCTCCCATGTTGCAGTTCACTTGGTTTACTTTACCCTGAATCTTACTAGGGGAACCTGTAACGGTAGATGGGCATAACGTTCGGATACCATATTGCGGTACCCCTGCTCATAATGAGGGTGTATATAAGTAATTCCGATTCATCACCATACCCTACCCTTATTGTTCTCCGATCCGCAATACGAAAGTGGTTGCACAGTATTCACCAGTTGCAAACTCTGTCTAGGGAAATAGAGATGAATCTTTGTCCCTTGTTCAGTTGCTCAGTGGTCACCACATCCGGTAATTTGGTGGGTGGCATCGCACTCTGCCAATAGACAGTAGTTTGTTCAGAGCGGATATTTTTTGCCGGCAAAGGTAGTGTAATTAGTCTATCATTAAGACTGGTGTTAGGTGGTTTGGTAGAGTGGTTGAGAATCAGCAAAATTCGAATATATTCTAAAAAGATTCTGAAGATTCTAAAAAGATGTGCAAAAGGCGTCTTATTGCGCGTGTGGCTCGAGTAAGCCGTTCGTCATTGAATAAGTGCACAGTGAAAAACGGTTAGTTTTCAGTAGTCTTGAACCTTTCTCACTCATTTTTCCCAAACTGCCCCTTATAAACTGTGTTTAATTGTACATTAGGCTACTTTCACAAGCTTTTCGAGGGACTTGTTGTTATGAGGTCGCCCGATCCTGAGGACTATTCTAAGACTGATTGCATCATCTTCCCCTCTACTCGACTCGACCTTATAGTTGCAAGTTCACATCGTTGTCCCGCAGTTGACCTAACAGTCCACTGATGTTGGAATTGGACGGCCCATTAACAATACATTGGTCACAAGCCGATCTTCGTTTCTCACAATCTTTCTCTGTTCTAGGCCTTGTTCAACAGCTTTAGAGCCCGCAGCACTGAGCACATTGGAACTACAAGCCCGAGGCCTGGCAGAAAATTTAGATCAGCTCTTAGGTTCTGTCCATTCTGCTTTACATCGAGTAAGTGTTTGTCTGTTTGTGTCAACGAAATGATCTCAGTGAAACTAACACAATGTCGATTTATCTGGTTCTCGAAATGTTCTAAGTTTCTGAGCGCGGCTGTGCACGAAAGCTCGTTTGCGGCTCCTTTGGAATTAGCCATGTTCGAGGCTCACCATGTATGACTGTTCACCGAGATCCCATCTTGTACTGATGATATTTTTAGGTAAACATCACAGGCGATGAGTCCACTTGAAGTTTGTTTGAATCTCCCAATTCGTAAGCTGACACCGGGTTGCATGTACAATAGCTGTACAACCTGGCAATCAAGTAATTTAGCTGATTGATTGAGATCGGTGACTGCATCTACCAGATGAGTTTCAAACAAAAAACGAACAGCAAACCGTCACCGAATTTCGGTCACCTTTGTCACACTGTGATTACTCTTATTTGCAACTTTAGCGCGAAATTGGACGTGTGTGTAGTTAAACACGGATCTACGAACTGAGATGGTGTTAGTAATTTGGACTTACTCCTAACCACTACAGTGTGACGCTCCATAATTTTACATCACCAACATGATTCACCCTATCGACCGAAATAGAGCATTGGTTTGGTACTGTATCTGAGATTACTCGAAACAGAAAGATTGACAGTGATTACTCGGCGTACAAAAACTAATCACTCAGTCCATTCGACCATTGTGTCGAGTATCAACGGGGCGATTTCTGAATTGGTAGCAATTGTTTCTTGATCGATACGTTAACCTTAGCCGTTTTGTGACAGTCCTCGAATCACCTATTAGACTTCCCATTTTTTCCACACAGATCTGAGTACCGTCAACCGAGAAAGCATAATAATGCCCTGATTTCGCCTTGTGAAGCTGCTTCTCGTATACGAACAAACAGTTCATAACACATACTACTGTAATTTTCCAGTAGTTTGAGCTGTGCATACGTGTCCGGTGTCCTGAACCATATCAACGAAACGAAGCACCGTTTGACTGGTGCTTTCCATCATAGATATGATTGAGAAGGTTCACGTTCAGTATCCACGATTCTTAGATTCAAACTGCCTTCCTGGTTAATGGCATGGTTTAAGTGCCCTAGGACACCTTAATTCATATAGGAACACATTGAGCTTACTCAATGTATTTCGGAACTAACAAGTTAAGTAAGTTAAGTATATCCTTGGCTCATTACTTGTTCTGTCGAACGGATAAAAATTTTGTTTCTGAGTATCCTATTCACATTTTTCGTGTTCTGTCTTCTATTAGATGTCTGAACTCACTGTGGAGTGCGTTTCCGTATTCGCGAACTCCGTTGAGTTGACCTGCGATTCTGTTGATGCAAGCATTAAAGTTAGTTTACTGTTATTAATTTTTTAAATATGGCCGAATATGGTCAACAGAACTGAGGTTTGTATTTATACTGGTTATTGCAGTGGTAGTAGAGGGGGGGAAACACAACATTTTTGAGCGGCTTTTTTAATTGCTGAATGTTTCGGTCACCTCAGGTAACTTTAATCAGGATCGAAATGATAAAACCAACTAGACAACAAAACGTGTACCAGTGTCGAAAAAGTGAATACTCTCATAGGCTGCTCTGATTACTCAAGTTCATGTTCGGGCATGTGCGTCGTGTTGAGGCTGAAAAAGCGACATTTGCATGTTCTTTTGTTTTCACTTCTGTTCGCTCGTTTTTACACGTTAGGTGGTTGGTGACTGTCGTTTATTTCTACGCGTGCGAGTTGTTGCATTTTGTGCTTAGTGATGTTCTGTACACGGTGGAAAGCTTTAATGGTTTACTCTATCTTAGTTGAACAGTACCTTATAAGCTTTTGTCTGGGTATCAGCTGCAGTTAACGAGTCGTCCTTTCTGTGAAGTTGCACGTGCATGTCTTTTGCGTTCACCAATTCGTACGCGCAGTTGTCCGCTAGTTTTTTCTAGTTCGATAACCATGTGACATGGGTGTAGGACTCAACGTATCAACTCGCAGTATTGTATTTCATTCACATGTAAAGTATTGTTTCGTAATATGTTCGACAAGGCTTAATGGTTACCTGTATTTTATATATCCTTGTAATGAGAACCATGCATTCCGATGATATCTAACTTATTGCTCATGTCACCGCATCAGCGTGAAAGAACCAGAACTGGAATTGTCGATAAACGGAACCAATAAGATTTTGCCTGATAACCCGCCAACAAACAATGCTGAGAAGACGTATCTACCTCGTTTCACTAATAAAAACAATCGAATCATATAACATTACATCAAATAAATAAAGACAAGCAATCCTGTAGTAAACATGAGAGGATGTCCATGGTTGGAACCACTCCTGGCTCCTGAGTCGCCCTTGTGCTCAGTCATTAGAACGAGCACTGCTTGACAGAAAGCTGTTTTTTGTTTTAAGCTATCCTGGTAACTTTGGTAAAGTGTATCGGTGACATTATCGCGCTGGCTTGACAAGAAACTTGGTGTTAATATGTTGGTAATTGATCAGGTGGCTGTTGATCTGTTCACCGAGCTTGGCAATTGATTTGCAAACGTTTCGTCACCATTCGAGGAGATATCTTCAGTGCGCTGTTGGTTGGGTAGTCCCTCTCTTCTTGCCTGCGTTTGTATGGTTTAGAAAGAGCGGCACTTGCGCTGTAACCTGATTGGCCATTGACAATCGTCCTACTTGGATTCTAGTTGGTCTGATCTTAATCTGTGTTGCGTTATGGTTTGTATTTCTTGCTTTCCACGGCCACGCTACTGTTGAAATTGCCGTCCATTGTTGTCTCCTCCGGTTGGCCCGTTCGTGATCTGTATTGCCTCGTGATCGGTTCTCTGTTGTTTGATTGGTTTGTGGTGTACCTTCTATTTTTAGTATTTTGCTGTTCTATTGTTTTCTCCTTTGAGTCCTTGTTCGGCTCCGGGTTCTGTGGTTCTGGACTTCCCTTATCCTCAAAGACTGGTTGGCAGGATCGATCTCAATGCGTCTGTTTACTGCTCCATCGGTGGAGTACCACGCCTCCATGAACTCGCGTTCTTTCTTTGTGCTTGCCTGGTCCAGTGTGTTGACGTCATTCCAATCAACTATGTGTTCTTCTCCATATTCGTGTCCAGAGATGAGAGAGGGTCGGTCGTATCTCCTAGTGGCGAGCTTGTGTTTGTTGACTCTGGCTGAGAGTTTCCTCTCTGTTTGTCCCACACAGTGTTTTTCCCAGTCGTTGCATTGAATTTTGTAGACTACATTTGTCTTTTCCATCGCATCAAGTATCCCATTCGGTTTTGATAGTGCTGTTCGCGGCGTGTCAGTCGGTCTGTGGGCAACTTAATGGCATGCTGTCGTAGTATCCTGGCGGTCATCTCCGAAATGTGTTTGATATATGATAGTGTGATCGTTTTGCTTTGTTTTGGTGTTAATATGCAAATTCCCAGGATGCACAAGTTTTCCGATTTTTCACCCCTGTCGTATATTTTGATGGACTGGTTATTGACGTCGTGTGATGACTGATCGATATCCCCGGTCTCTTTAATAATCATCACTTTACTCAGAATATTTTTGTGACGTTGGCGGCAATTTCACACAGATTCCAAATGACGTCATTAACAGCACTCTACTGTCACAAAGCGAATGATATCCTGAAGGACGACTGTAACTCCCGGTTTTGGACCTTATTTTAGCGACCGAAAATCCACTGTTAGAGGCTGTGGCTCATTCACCTCATGTAAGACAGAGTGATCGTGAAGTGCCACTGTTCACTCATGCGGATTATGCATTCAGACTGACCGGGTCAGGTCAGTTTCCTAGTGTGGAGATATTGAATTGATAGTCCAAGCTGTCTGCCGGTCAGTTCGACAAGCTCACCCTCATAATGAGGCTTCAGACTGGGTTGTCCGTCACCTGAATGTTCCTGTCATATCTTGTCGACGTGAATCACCTCAGTCAGGTTAAAAACAAGTAATTGGTTACGCAGGGAGAGCAGAGTCTGAGGCAGTTATTGACATATTTTTTACTGTTGTACTGGAAAACACCGGGGTTTTGTGTCCATTTCAGTACCCTCTTTCTCTAGAAAGCACAAGTAACCAGTTCACCTTGGCCGGGAAACTAACGTGTAGTCCAAAACTTCTGTCTCCTAGTGGCTACGAGATAACGTGGGACTTAAAGTAAGCTCAGGTTTGTGTAAAGTAACACTACTATTGGCTGATAACAATGCACATACGACCAACGGCCCTTCAGGCAATCATCAAAGCTCTTCGCTGCGTATTTTTGTAAACGAACTCTGTTATCTAATCATACAGACTAATTTCTTTTGGTCGATATTCCATTTAAAACAATAAGTAACTGCACCCAGACGCCGGCCGGCATCAGGTGCTGCATAACTAGCCAATGATGTGCCAGTCGCAAACAAATATATTTCGGTATACAACGTAGTATGCAAAAAACGATGAATATGCTATTTGTACGCAAAGAAAAAACCTCATTGTTCTGCACAACCGAGATTTCAGATGTTTTCACGGAGTCTGTCCGTCGACTTCTGGGCATACAACAGTGATGTATGTTACCCTATCTCACCTCTCTCACAACATCTACAGGGCTTGGGCGCGGAAGCTAGTCAGCCTTCTAATCTGTTATGACACATCCGTTTTCGCTTCTCTCATATTTGTGGCCACAGTCCTCTTGACTCACACTCCACGAACCAGCTTAATGTGATTCCCGCACTCCGTATTCCACCGTATCAACCGTTAATTTCCTCGAAACTGTCTGCTTGAATGGCACCCCGTGTTATGTGCGATCAACATCTTCGATAGTGATATATTTCCAACAGTTTTCTGCACCTGAATTCCCAAGTAGTGAATGAACTTCTTATTTGATCCGATCTGAAACAGCTAAAATAGATCAATCTACCTTGCTGCTGGCCGATTTACTTGCCTCCTGCTTAGTCAAACGCCGTTGATGAAGCCATACAGTTCTTTGAGGAAAACAAAATATTATTCTCGGCTCTCTTCAGGGCTTTGGATTTTGTGCTAGCAGACTCTCGGAATGTACCGCTGAGTTTCGATGCCTTCTTCATCATGGGAAATCCCTAGTACGAGATGACTCAAGTGGTTAGCGCGCGAATTGACTGACCGGGAGGTCCATGGTTCGAACCCGACCTCTGCCTCTCGAATTCCCCTGTCTATGTTTGGGCAACCTGGCAGTATGCCAGCTTTCGTGCTTCCTTCCGGTGGCATGACAGTTAGGCACCGAAAGGATGACACAGCTGAACGATTTTTTCTAGTACGTTTCTCTGATAGGCTGTCATATCCTGAACGATCAGAGGATGATCTGGATACCTCTACGTAACTTGCTTCCTTCCAGTTTTCGTCATTACTAAATGGCTGAATCTACTGTTGTTGCTCCAACACATTTTATCAGTAGTCGATCGGAGCACCATTGGCCAGACATACCTAGTCGTTCAACTTCGAGGGCCCCGTTGATTTAACTGGAAAAATTTTCTCAGTGTGGTCTCGCGTGTTCACTATGATATGTGCGACATACACAGGTCCCTATCGCGAGTAAGCCGTTTAAGTTTGACAATCGTGGTTGCATTTAGACATTCAAGAGAAAACTCGTTTGTTGATTATATATTTCGTCACACATCTAGAGGCTGCTCTGCATCCTGCCAGGGGAGACGTGGCAACAAGATCTTCATCTTTTCTATCCTCATCATTCCCGACTATCCTCGTTCTCTCTAGTTTGGAGCAGTTTCATGTCCATTGACTTAAACTGACAAATCGGTGTAGTTGCTCGGAATACCGTGAGACTCTTCCTATTCTTTTGCCACTATCTGTGGTTCCTCTTCCCTGAGTGATTAGAGTATCTCCGATTAGGCTGGCACCTTGAGAACACCCGTTCTGTAAATTTTTAGCGTAGCCATTCATACATACCGTCCGATCCATTTACGCAATATCCGGTTGGTTCGAGACGCCCTAGCCATGTTTTGATTCACGTACAGTGTTTCCGTGTATCTTTTTGTACGAATGTTTGCAATCAGCACTGTTGCTTCGTTACATGGTTCGTGTGTTTGGTGCGCACGGAAAGCAAAATGTGGCAACACGAAGCCTGCAGGTGCCTAGCAAGGTTCAGTGTTACATGTTCTTCTATCTAATAAAGCGTTGCAATGGTAAATTCCTTCATTAATTTGGTGAAACAAGTCTCCCTTTGGGACTGTGCAGGAACCGTGTAGGATACTTAGTGTTGCGAACTATTGATAGATAGTGGTAGAATAGCAGAGTTTGAAAAACCCCGGTCCATATTCATCCTGTGTGTAGTTATGTCCTGGCGTTCGAACGAACGTGATTTGTTTATGCTCGGCTGGTACCCCATGGGAGCTGAAATGCAACACAGTTGAGAAGTTCTTGGATTCGGGCTGTGCGTACTAGTGGTGCTTCAGTGCTTTAGTTTTTACAACAGAATCTTCAAGTGTCTTTTAGGGACGATCCTTTTTTAGTGTGTGTTATTCAAAGGGTGCCCTAATTATTTCATCCTTGGGAACCATGTCTCGTACGCCATAACGTTCGTCAAACGAAAACTACGTTCTTTCTCAGGTAGTCTGTGATTTAACCAGTAGTATTCATATGAGCTATAGAGATGAAGTATATCAGGACAAGCAGTCCGCAACTTGTGCCCTGTGATGCCTAATTCGCAACCCATAATTGTTGTCTATTGATTAAGTTACTCATGACTCCCGATAGTGCCAACTAATGTTCATGTTTTTTTCAGAATACCTATGCCTTGATGGCAAAGTGTGAAGAACTGTCAAAATCGATGGCTCAGCTCATACCACTGGAAAAGGAAATGTATCCTTTTCGAAAAAGTTTGGTGACAATCGGTAGACTTATTGCTGGGCAACGTTTCGCTTTTGACACAAAAGCTTCGTCAGGCCAAGTTACTAGGTTCCGAAGTTGATCGAGATTTAAGGCGGAAGGAGAACCAATCAGCTAAGTCAAGCTAAATCTCTGTTGGGTGTCGGCCGAGGGATTTTAGTGTGTTAGAGTGGTTGAACAAGTGTTGGGTCGGTGGGGAAACCTACATGTGTTTGGGTCCTGCCTAGGGTCTAGTTCTTCTGGTTCGGTTCATTTGATGGTTCCTCTTGGTCTTCGTTTGACCCTTCTGTTAGTCTGTGTGGGTGAGCTAGTGCTAAGACAGTTGTGTAGGAGGGATGCTGTGACCTTTGGTCGGTTGGGGTTTCCACCCCTACCCCCCGGTTTTTTCTAATGATCCTAAGTGGATTGACAACCACACCGTCACGTGTCAACTCGGCTTATCTAAGACCGCTTTCCATACGCTCACTAGCTCCACACCTTCGATTCTATTCACGCTGTGATGCTTAGTGATTTCCACCGCCTCGGCTATCAGCCGTTGTGGTGTGAATCGCAGTCCCCACCAAACTTTTTCGAAAACGATGACTACCCAATCGGTTTCAAGTATTTTCCACGTGATTGAAATGTATCCTTTCTTTTGTAACTCGGTTTCATATGGTTCATTTTCAGTATCGCTTCACAATTTGGACAGTTCAACAGTTAATATCGTTACGGGACCATTGGGAAGTACATTCGATTAACAATGAATAATAATGTAAATCCGTGGGCACTAAAGATCGGATAGCTCTTGATAAGTTGTCCTGTAAATTTTGGGTGGCTCAGGATCGAGGTGGATTTACTGACCGGAAGGTCCGTCGTTCAAACCCGACCTATGCATCTCGACTTTCCCTGTCTAGGCTTGAGCAACCCTACAGTATCGTAGCCCTCATGCTTCCTTCGGTTAGCATGGTAGCTAGACACTGTAAGGGTACTACAGCTGAACGATTTTATCATTTTTCACTGGTCCTCATTTGTAATTTCAAGCACCTACTTGCGTTCGGTTCGACCGAGAGCTTCTAACTCGATGTGCTGATTCTATATGGGTGCTGCAACTATCCCACGGGCTGCTTCCCCCAGGCCACTAGCTTGTCCAGATTTGTGGAAGTAGCGATGTTCCCTTCTCCCGAGGAGGTATGGTCTAGAAAATGTCGGCCGTAAAAACCTCACACTCTGGCTGCCCGGTAGTTAGCCATGACCGCCGGTGAGTTAGCAAATACGGTTGAAGTGCCACCAATGCATACTATAAGTCCAACGCGGCTCCAAAGACATGTGCTGTGCGTAGTAGAATTGCGGTTGAGATATGTATGACGTACTCTTTGAACCCTCAAGCTAGGCTAACGATGCGCCCAGGCGGATCCGTTTGTTGAGGCATCATCTCCTGGCAGTTTCCCCCGGGAATACCCTGCTACTCACTGCCTGGCAGGTCAGACTTTTGAGCCTACTACCTTATGGGTTAAAGTCTTGAATCAAACGTTCAAGGTGGGGTCGACTGGAGCCTCCGAAATCACTGCTATGCAAACGCGATCACATGATCAATAGATATTGTTAAGATCTTGGCAGGTGCTCGGAAATCCACACCAGTACGCAATGTGTACGACGGTGCACGCATATCCCTCAACCGTCGAACAGCGAGCCTCTAAAGAGTAAGAGTCTTGGTAGATGGTGAAAGCTCAGAAGTAGGAGGCGGGTTTTTCCATCAGAAACAGCCGAGCCGTATGCCTTCAATTCGATCGGCTGGTCAAAGAAATCAATTGTCAGGGGGACGACAAGTGAAGAACACGGTCCGACAATGTTTTCGCAAAGACATTGGTTTAAAAGATAGTACGAGAAATTTAATCAGTTTAACTGGTTCCCCCAGTGACATCATACACTTGGAAAAGGAGAAATAAAATGCGAAATATCCATTCTGTGTGGAAAGTCACCAGGTTCGTATGATTTGAATTTAGCCTTATTCAGGGAAGAAGGAGAAGCTCCGGTATCCTATCTGACAGAAATTGCGGCGCTGCATGAGGTGAAGATAAAATACCTCAACTGTTATACTAGCTTTTGGGAAGAGTACGCGAACACAGTAAAAGCTATCGTGGCATTAGACTGTTTGCTGGGTGCTAGAGTGTCTCGTTGTTCTCCGCAGATGTACTGAACACAGAGACATTCATGAGAATCAGGCACGGCTCCGTCCTGCAAGGTGGTACACGGATCTCGGAACAGTTGCTCTGCTTCCAGTAACCAACAGTTCCAGCCTGTGCGACTCAGACTCCTCAAACGATTGAGAACTACGGAAGTATCTGTAACAATTGTGCGGCTTCATAACTTCCTGACCCTCTTTAGCCCTGTACGCTAAATTTCGTGGACGCGTACTTGTCTATAGTGAATACCCGCCTGTGCTCATCACATCTACTGATGTCAGGCAAAGTTGTCCCATTGTTAGCTTTGTCATCGGGATGATCATGAAAGACTGACCCTTTGCTCGACATCTATGTAGTTGAGATGGTCTCAGGGCGTTCACTCAGAGGTATCAAGTACACATAACCTGACGAGGCGAAGGGGGCTCATTATGCAGTGGCCACACCCCAAGGGTGACGTGGTAGTCACCTTTGACACCACTTGCGTAAACGGTAGTCAACATTTTGGATTCATCAAATCCCAACTGCCTGAGTGCGGGGGCCGGCGGTAAGGCTCTTGCAGATGGTGATCCAAATTTGGTTCCAGTGGTGTCTACCGTGGGCATCCATCCATTTAAGGTGGGCTAACTAAGTCAATGACAATGCCAATGTTGTTGAGGATTTAAGGCGAGGCTTTATGCAATGAAGAACATATCTTAATCATCAGAGGCTGTTGGATTGAAATTCCCATTTCTGACGTGGTAATGGTATTTCTGCCATATCTGATAATTCACCAACCATCAAGGTCAGCCGTTGAGTAATCCGTTTGTGGTTTGTAAGATTGACCTTTTCCGACCCGTCTCATCTGGAAGGAAGGAAGAGCCGTCGCGCCAGCTTGTTAGAAACATTGCATCACTAATCCTGGTGTATTCCGAATTGTTTTCGGAAAAAAATGAGGTGATTACAATCCATACGTTGCACTGGCTTGCTGACCTTCTTCGTTCGCCAGTCGAAGAACCTTTTTCGCACAACCACGCAAAGGGTGGAATCGAGTGAGGGGTGGTCAAGCAATGACTTGTCCACGAAGTATGAAAGCCATTACCAGCAAACTTAGCTGCGCTGGTCATTGCGGTCTTCCTCAATGGAGAAATCGAGACAGGAATCATCGATGCTTTCAGACGTTAGCACGTGGCGTGCTTGCCTCCAAACTATCATCTTCAATACTTAACTTTTTCTCATCTGCTCAGTGGAAAGTTCACTGCCACGCGCGCCAACTATACCGTGGGCTACTGCCTTCAATACATAGCCATCTGCTTCTCTTTTTTTTCATAGGGCGGGGTATTGTACCATGTACACATGGCTCACAGCTAATGATGACAACGCTCGCTTGTATCTGCAACTGCATACTGAATACAGCGCTTGGATAAGCCAGGAGAACTGAGAGGCTCAACGCGCCGAAGTACGCTATAGGGCTATAGGGTGCCCAAACAATGTCCGGTATCCAATCCGTGTGGATGCGTAGTGGCCAGGATACTTGGGTTGCGGATAGCACTTGGGTGGTGTTCGACTAAAATAACCCACTAGAAATCATGCGGTCCTTTTGCCGTGCAATTGGGTGTGCAAAGACCAGAAACACTCGAGCAAATGGCGTGTTTATAAGGCCTTTCGTTGAAAAGAAACGGACTTATTATTGCATAGTAGTCAGCTGAAGTAAACAGTTATGAAAACACTTTAGGTAACGTTTCCATACTTTGGGTTGACAGTTAGTGATGATGTTTCAACAGCCTTCGTCTGGCTTATCTTAGTATTTTGAAAATCTCTGGTCGTAAGCCTCAAAAGATCCACCTACGCACAGTGGAATCCCGTGGAGGCTGTCTGAAGAAGACATAGAACAGCGTTCCACGTCACTCATGACCCGGTTTGTGAGCATCTCTAATAGGGTTTAGTTGCCCCTCCTACCCTTTGCAATGTTGTTTGGAGGGAAATTGTGTTGTCTCCGGTAGTTGTTGTATCTCACTTGTTTGCTTAAGCCGTCCATTGGCTGTTTATCGACCGGCTTCACTGTGGTTGCATCAATTCCTTGACTGTCTGTTCGCTTTCAGTTCTGCCGTCAAGTGCACGCTGGACAGGTTTGAGGACGTCGTAAAGAACGCGTCCAACTATTGATTGCCGAAAACTCCTGTAAATTCATCACCAGACGGTACGTGGAGATTTACTTTCCTGACATACGGAATCAACAGCCTTAAGAACTCACACTCCTGTGGGCTGAATATGTGAACCATTTCCTTAACTCGTTTTTAAATTTGAGTCCTCAGTCGCCCTGGGTCTGTTGGCGACGTATCAGTTTCTTTCTGTTATGCTGTTTGCTGTACACTTCATATTCTTCCTTTGCAATACAGAATTATCTTACTTTGACCCCTATTTCTTACAGGGATAGCTGATAACTTTAATTGGTTTGTGGTAATCCTAATTCAAACTACTCATCACTGCAGGGGGGCCCATTAGCCGCACAATGCTTTTCGTTGCAAAACCTTTGCGAGTGGAATAAAACTTTTTGCGCCAAAATGTTGCATTTTGTTGCGTATGTGCTCAAACCAAAAATCATCCTAATCTATTTTCACATTTTCGCAGCACTGAAACACTCATACCCCCGGTGGAATACTTTCCTAGCATCCTTGAGACCCCCGGATGCCTAGATGGGGCTCAGAAGTTTGGACTCGTACTCTGAACTCAATTGGTCAATCAGGGACACGTCGTATCTTTCGAAAATTTAATTGCATTGGGTGAATACTGAGCGCCTCACTGCAGCACACAAGTCCGCGAATCAAGCACGCT